CTGCGTGCGCGCGGGGGGCAGCGCACCTCCTCCATAATGCCGCTCCCGCCCTCTCGTAACAGCATGGGGTGTCAGGAAAGCAGCGTTCGGCATGTGCTTCGATGAAGATGGGGACGGGGCGGTGGGCAGGGGCGCGGCCCACGCTTGAGAAGGGGTGCGCGAGGCCTCCGTGTGGCGCCGCGCCGGCCGCCCTCGCCCCTCCTAAGGCGCTACGGGGAGCTCCAGTTAGCCAATTCAGAAGCTGCTTTTCGGGGTTGGTTTGGCACTGCTGGGTCTGCCCGGCCCCTGGGTGGCTGTACCGGGGCTGGTGCTTCCCTAAGCTGAGCGACTGGTCCTCTCCTTAGGTGGGAATCTCGGGCAAGGCATTTGCAGAGCTCCAGGTTATCCTTCCCTTCATTTTGTAGTCGATTTACATGTAGGAGATTTTGACCATGGCAAAGCAAGTGAAATGAATAAAGTACAAAGTTCTGTCAGGTACTAGTCAGACACTGTTGATGCTTTAAGCATGTTAGCCATGTTACAATGGAAAGAAAAGGTGTTTTACATACAGAAATCTACATACATACAACAGCCCGAGACTTCTAGTTTTGTTGTTGTTGCTTAAACAAAGCTACAAGACAATGTTCAGGAACTGACCTTGGACTCTCGCTCCTCCAGGAGGGTCTCCAGCTTCTTCTGTGCAGCACGACCTTCGTGGTCGTCGCTGACGATCAGAATGACGTGATTCCAGTTGAAGACTCTCATCATCTCAAACCAGACATTGGCCTGGTGAGAGTACGGCGGGACCGTGCGCAAAAACGACAGGTGGATGCTCTGCAAGGGAAGAAGAAAAGCTCAACATAGATCGGTCGCATTGTCAGCCAGGGTGAGTCCCAGTTTGGGGGCACAGGGCTGGGATCACAAGGGCAAAGAGAAAGACCTCTGGGTTACACGCCTCTGGGATCTGCACTCCTTTCCTCTGGCTCGGAATTAAACCCTGGCTACAGTTTTGTAGCTTTTTTGTGGTTAATCCAGCACACAGTAAAGAGGATTCTTCGCTGGGCATCCTCTAAAGGCATGGCGAGGAAAAACTCGTCCAGCAACAAACTGTCTGTGACGTTCAGTGCAAACGTAGCCTCTCCTCTTGACTTTAACTGAGCTTCAAAAGGAAACAAACTCCCTTCAGAGGGTGACAAGGTACACGCAGGTACGTCTTAGTTATCTGTCAGGAGAGAAGCTCCAAAACGCGGTTTTGTAACGGGCTGTTCGGCTGTTTCTAGGTCAGCCTGTTCTGCAGCAGCACGCGGGAGGAGGCAGCTCCGGACTCATGCCCCGGCTAACCGATCTGATTTGGTTAAAGACATCGTTATGGTTGGATGGTTAACCAATAGCAATTCCAGTCTAATTAACTACAGCACTCTTAGGGGAGCCATTAGACCGAAAGCTGTAGCCGATAGAGGTTTCAAAAAAAGGTAGCTTTTCCAAAAGGCCCTAGAGTCAAATTTTTGAAAATGGAAGTGCTTACGCTCAGCACGGACACTACTTGACAAAGCAGAGACGTGCTGGAAGGAGGGAGAAGCCTGAATAGGGAAGGACGAAAAGTAAAGCACCGTAATATTTCATTTTTTTAAGGCTGAGAAGGTCTTCTGGGCCAAAGAGAGCTTGTGACTGGACCCAGCACACCTCGGAAATAGTCCTGAATGGCCCTGAACCATGCTGGAAGGGAAAAGGCCCTTCCATGGATATGCACAGGAGGAACATCCAGATCAGATAATGCCTTTCCCTTACACTCAACATGCTGATAAAGTCAAACTGAACCATGCAATGTAGAGAAAACAGGGCAACCACACAGCGTGGCAAGGTGTCTCTGTGGTGGGACAGAGTCCCTTTCTGCTGAAATGAGAAAAGAACAGAATAGCTAATCGTAATAATAAGAAAAAAATCAGAAAAAAAAATGCTTGAAAAGAAATGCTTAAAAAAAAAATCAAAATTCTACCTTTAAATTATTTCAATCCTTTTTTGACCTCTTTGAAATTTCAATATATTCTAGCAAATTATTTTCTAGTTTGAAAAAAGTGCTGTTTGGACTGATCACGGCTTTTGTGTTACAAATACATACCACTAGGTTTAACAGATCAGGTAAATTTGCTTCCTGAGGTGGTGCCAAAAGGGTCACAGACTTGCCGTGATGATGGCTCAGCTCTGGGATTACAGAATTGTAGTTTTTTTATAGGATAACGAAGAACAACTAAACGCAAATGCCAACTATAGATTTTGGGATGAGAACTCGCGCTTTGTGCTCAGCTATGGAAGTCCTCAACTTCTCCACAGGGCCCAAAGCTTGGCAGAAAACTGAAAGCAGAGTCCTCCAAAAGTTAACAAGTCCAACCCAGGATGTGCAGAAGCAGCTGGGAATCAGGTTTTGTGCAATTTGATAACACGTGGGGACAGGTCTCTGGCAAATCCCTCTGAAACCCGGTCCTGAGCGTGCCCGGCCAGGCAGCACATGGGGCTGTTCTGCAAAGCGTGTGGACGCAATGGTTTGTGCATCACAGGAAGGCCTTATTTAGGCAAAATTACTCTTATAAAGACTTGATTTTTTAACAAGGCCTCTGTGCGACAGCTGTCACTCACCGCAGGTGCACTGCTCACCTGATGCTCTGCCACAAGTGCTCGAATTCTGGGCTGTCACGGGTCATAACCCGCTCCTCTAAGAGCAGGCACACTGGGGAAAAAAGAACAACCACAAACCACTCCTAATTACAAATCAGCAGTTTGCCTTGTGTGGTTTTTTGCAGGATTTGCATCATTTGCTCTCCTTCGCCTGCTTGGGGCTGGGATGTGAGCGTGGGAATTGCTGACAGCAACCCCAAGCCGAGCAGCAGCTTTCTGCAGCATCTTCCTGTATCCCACCAAGCTCAGCCCTCATTCCCCACCTGATTCTAGTTCTGCAAAATTTAAGTAAATAAAGGTTGGGATGGAATCCAGGCTTCAGAATCAGCCCAGTAGAAACCCACTGGGTCGGAGCTGGGATGAGCGTGATTATGAGGCTGGGGACACGTGCTGGGTCAGGGCTCTTAGGAACTGCAAATTATTAGTGGTGCTGACTCGGTTGATGTGAGTGCCAACGAAAAGGAGCTCAACAGATCACGCACATGTGAAAGCAAGGACTCTGTGTGTGCAGAAGGACCACATACAGGTCCATGCGTGAAAGGATTGCTGTCTTCTCTACTTCTGTCTGCCTAAGGGCTCGTCACAGCTCACGGCCCGTGGCTGGCGGAGTCATTTTTTCTACAGGCTTGAGGAAATGACGTGCTTTTGTTTCATTACCTATGGAAATCATGCAGTCAGTCTCCCTTCTAGCAATGCATTTCTCCCCACTTCCAGTGCAGCTTCCCACGCTGCTTCTGCTGAGCACCGGTTGCCAGCGAGACCAGTAATGAAGAAAAACACCCCTCTCAGTGAGCAATAACCCCTGAGAGGGCATGGAGTCATTATACTAAGACAAGGAACCAGAAGGAAAAAAACTATTCCCAGGCCCAGGCTGGGGAAAGGGAGCGACAGACCTCCTTTCAACGACCACGACCAGGTGCTGGACGTTGAAATAGTTCTCCCAGAACAGAATGACTAAACTCCATTCTCCATCTCTACCAGCAGCAGAGCAGGTCTGCTAAGGGCCACACTTGATCCTTCCCTGCACTGCCTCTCCGACAGGGAGGGGGAGTGGTGGGGGGCTCAGCACCTCAGTGCAAATCCCTTCATCCCCATCACGAAGGTGCGGTCCCACGTGGTGGTGGTGAACGGCACCAGACCTTCCCTGCTCTTGAGCTGTGCGTTTCCCCATGAGCTTCGCTCTCATGCTCTCGGTGTCGTTTCCTATCTCTCATATTGTCAAGACGTCAACATCCCCTCATTTTCACGGGCTGAGATGGAAAGGAGACACGAATACGCCCCACGCCCCACTACAGCCACAGCCCAGGCTGCCCGTTCAGGGGGCGCAGCCTGAGGAGGTCAGAGCATGATTTTTGCAAAGCTCAGTCCACAAGGAGTCTGTGAAGGGCTCCCCATAGCGATGGATGCCGCAGCGATGGGCACTGCTCTGCCCCTCCTCTCTCCTCGCACAGCTCCCTGCTCACCTCACGCAGAGGTGACTGGGTTTGCAGAACTCCGCGGAACCACGGGAGGGTCTCTGTGAAGAAACAGGTGATGATTTCCTAAGATGTGGGCACAAGGAGGCCCAAGAAAAGCTGTTAAGCCAGAGTACTCAGCTTGACAGCTGTGATGCTGTTTCTAGAACAAATAGTTCTTTGAATACTGGGAGCAATAAAGCTTGCTTCCCTCAGGTACCTTTGTTGAAAGCGTGGCTACAGCTCCTGGACTACTCTGCTTGACTGGAGATACCCAAGAGTATCAAAAGGTACTGGGCAAATCCACCTGTGCCGAGGCCCATGCCTTCCCGTCCCCGTCAGCTTAGCCTTGGGAGGACCATAATTAACTCTGAGAATTCAGCCCCCCATGAAATTTAGCTAAAATTGCCTGATGCGTTCAAAACCAATCAGGGGCATGCACACAAAGTGATCTTACAAGCTTGTTTCCATAGAAACTAAGCTGAAAGATATAATTTCCTGAATTTAGGAAAAAAAAGAAAAAAGAAAAAAAAAGAAGCTGATCGCTGGAATCCAAAAAGGGAACCAACCGAATGTCCTCATGTTGCACTCCCCAGCCTGTCCCACATGGATGTGCAGAGCCCTGCGCCGTCCTGTCCCTTCGCTCTGCTGTCCTCCACTTCACTCCCACCTTCACTGTCCCCTCCAGCTCCCACCAGGCCCCTACAGAACATCCTCGCTCCTCTACCCAGCCCTGCCTTTGACCCATCTCCTGCCTGCAACCACCCTCCCTGCAGGGACCCCAGAGTCCTCCAGACCCTGGATGCTTTGGTGGGAAGGAGGCTGAGCACGAGACCAGCCAGGAGTGTGCGGAGGGGTGAGATGGGCAGTGTGGTCTCCCTGCCAGAGGAGTGCACCCCAAATTCCTGCACCTGCCCCAACACCCCCAAATATCCAGTGAGGAACATCTCCCTGCCGCTGCCACGGGTCACCCCTCCAGCTCCAAAGTGAGCCAGCGTGGGTTTCACAAGCTGCTTTTTCAGAAAAACATGTCTGAAATCGGGAAAAAAATGGCTGAAGCAGCATCTGCCGGCGAAGCTCCCACCCCCTGCGGGTGAGCACGCAAATTCAGCACAAAGTCGTGCTGTGGAAAAGGCGGCCGATTTGCTTCATCGAGCACGGCTCTGCAGAGATTGTGCTGGACCAACAGCGTGCAGGGTCCCCTCTCCCTGCCATCGCGTGCACTGTGACAAGGTCCCTCTTGGTGACATCAAACCTATCTCCTCGCCATGGCAGCATGAACCAAATTCCCCCTGCACGTTTCCTACCTGCTGCCTGCCAGCTCTGCTGCCATCCCTCTCCTCCTAACAGCACCTGATGGGACCCTGGCAGGGTGTGCAGGTCCCCAGCGCTGGGAGCCACCGTTGCTGTCACTGCCGTGGTCTCGGCTTGCTGGCCGTCCTACCAGGGTTTTGCTTGGTGGGAGATGCCAAGATCTGCCACTGCTCCAGCCGAGCAGTCCTGTGTGCTGCATCTCTGGGAGCCTCTGCTCCTCACTCCTGAAATGTGCCTTCGTTTAGCACGTAGGCGGAATGACTATTTTTGCACTGAACATTTGCATCTGTGAATATTCACATTTTCCACACGAAGGCCAATTCGTGCTTCGGAACAGGCCTTGTCTCACCCACTAAGCTCGTGCGCCTGGACAGAAACCGCCACCAAGGCTGCCATGGTGTGTTGGCTGCTCGGCTCCTCCTTTCCTGATCTCAAAGTCTTTGAGATTCGGGTTGTGAGGGATGGAGGAGCTGGCCAGGGCAACGCCCTCCAGCCCCTGCACACGGCAGGACCTCACCCAGCCTGAAACTCTCCGTGTTTCTAGAGGGACGGCAGACTGTGTGGTTTGAGACACAGGAATCTGACCCTCTTTCTTGAGTGCTGGCTGGCCTGAATGTCATTTAAAGCCTCAGGATAGCTTGCTAGTCAATTCTATTATCTCCCCTACCAATATCACGTAAACCCAGAGAAGGGAAAGCATCCAAACAACCCTCAATCCCCAGGGAGCTTCTGTCTGATGCACAGGCTCCACTAGGACCCTCCTGCCCTGCCA